ACATGCGCTATTCACGGAAGACGTTAAGTCATTGTCGGCTTACGCTAAGGAGGACCGTCATAGTTTACCCTTTGTGGCCGTCTTAGGAGCCGCAAATGAGTGGAGAACTGACGCCATAAGAAGCCCAGTTCGTGTTTTCACTAGCTATGGACGGAGTGCGACTAGGCACTATCTTCGCGGATAGGGTTGCACCATAAGAAGTGCAAACCTGAGGTGATCAGACTAGTTGACGGGAAGATGTGAATAGAGTATTGYTGTAAATATCTTCATGTCGAAAGCTGGTACTTTGGAACAGAAAGAGTAATTATTGTCCAGGAGGACAGAGCGACCGACAAAGTTTGAAGGTAGATCCCTGACCTTAATGGGGCATCGAGCGTCCGATTGTTCGAGCTGGTCGCTGATTTCTATAGGTGGTAGCCGAGTTATTTGCAGATGGCATTCACACCAAAGTTAGAGAAGTAGTGAAGTCATCAGTAAAACAATGACACTCTAACTCTGCTTGAGAGTCGGGGCGCTCATATTCCTCACTAGCAGCCAGTATGGGGCAGGATGAAAGAACTTGGCAACGCATCTCATCGAGTCGGAAAAGTCGTCACAGTTCAGCCATTTGGCAGGCAACGTGAAGATATTTTGGTCGGACGCCATTCAAGCGTCGCTACGCATGTAAGTCATGCCCTTTTTTTATCCGGTTGTTGATAAGTGAGGTTCGAAGACGAGTCAACTCATGTTGTCTCGTCGTTGGATGGAAGTCAAGTCAACGTTTGTCGATTAGATTGAAGCGAGTGGTATGCATGATTGTATTGTATGTAGGATGATTTTGGAAAGTAATTCAACTTACATTGACATGAGTCTTTTGTAACATTTTGATTGTCCTTGAAAGAAGGGGCTAGGATTGATTAAGGTTTTCTTACGCTTGGAATATCACGTCCTAGTCGACCGACGTCGGTCCGATTCCTGGGAGATCAGCGCCCCAGGGACGGACGACGTTCGGGTCCACTTTGGTGTTTAACCATGCGTACCTACGCTACAGCGAACGAGCAAACGCCCTCGACTGGCATACCTCTACGATTGCATTATAAAAGCTTTCGCATGTGGGTCGATAGCTCGGTGGGGATACGCCCCTAAGGGTGGTGACAGCCCCTTAGGGAAGGTAAGTTGTGCCCCGCGAGAACCTATCCTGTCGTAGGGGACCGCGGGATGTACAGCTGGCGCACTCGGCCGGAGCGGCGAAGGGTCGATGCGGGTTACCGTGTCGTCATCGAGTTGTCACTAAAAAATTAAAAGACTAAGTTTCTCCTGCGTGACGCGGCCGAGAGGGCCCTCGCTCGCGCGGGGGCCGATGCGCTCGACAGGTGGCGCCGTTGCCGGGGATAACGGCAAACTACCGTTGTCCCTGGTGGAATGACACTCGGGAATGAAGCAAGTGAAAGATTGTGCCGTAGTGGTTGTCTAAGAAAAAAGGTTAGTAATCTCTGAGCCTCTATAAATGTAAGGAAGGAACCTTAATAGATGTCACCAAAACTCCTAGACTGAATCCTTGGGTTTATGTTTCTAGATGGACGGTGCCGCAGGACGTCGCGACAACGTCGACGATGGGAGGAACGACATTCAAGAATTGGCACGGGTCATCCGGCACTCGCAGCGAGAACCCTACCCCAAGATTGATGTTCCATTGTTTGATGGGAATCATGCCTCTTCTTGGGCAGACAAGTTTGAGCAACTCGGGTATAGCAACGAATGGACGRATGAGAAGATGCTTCGCATGGTTAAGAGGTTCTGTCAAGTGGAGTACCGAGATGAGATCGATGAGCTGGTGCGAATCTCCCGTAATTGGCCAGATTTTAAGGCGCGGTTGCTGGAGAAGTACCAGCTCAGCGATCGGTTACTCGACCTGCGAGATTTGAGGGCGGTGGATCGTAAGAAGTTTGGTACTACCAAACAACTTTTATCGGAGTTTGAGCGTGTGGCTCGCCTAATCCCGGATTTATCCGATAAAGATCGCTACCTCATCTTCCTTGATAACTTCAACGACGTCGAACAATCGAAGTTGGTTGAAGGGATGCAAGGGAGGTATGACTGGACTAAGGTCCGGCAAAATGCGCTGATGGGGAAATTCGACGATATCCTCTACCGGTTGTTGAGGCAACAAAAGGTGGAACGGGAGAAGGTGAAGCTGGGAGAGGTAAAGGACGGTGAGATCTATAAAACTTTGACCTGCATTAGAGAAATGGTGGAAGGCTTGAAAGAGGAAAGGCTGAAGTTTCAAGTCATGATGGCCAAAGAGAAAATTAGTAAGAGGAAGGGGAAAGAGCCGGTGGTAGAGAAAAGTGACAGTGAGAGCGAGGAGGAAAATGAGCCGCCTCGTAAGTTGACAAAGGCGGAGAGGAAGGTCTTGAATCAAATTCGAGGTGGACAGGGGACCTCCCGTAAGCAGGGGAAGAATGGCGGACAAAATAATCAAGGAGGGAATGGCGGTGCTGGCGGTGGTTCGTCTGAACAAAATTCGCAGGATCAAGGAAAGTTTCAGCCGGAGGGTGGAAGAGGCCGCGGTTGAGGCCGTGGGAACGGACAGGGAAGCCGTTGGGTGTGGCAGCAGGAAGCCACATGTAACTATTGCACAGAAAAGGGTCATATTATGCGGTTTTGCCAACTGCTTTCAAAAGATGAGAAGGAGGGAATAGTCTTCACCACGATACGCGGTGAAGTCTTTGATTACGAAGGGAACCTGATCGACCCCAACATTGAAGGGGGTATGAGGAAGGAGGCGTTTCGCCGAATGGGTCGTCCGCTGCCGGCGACGTTCCGGATTGCTTTTCTCGAAGAGGCGCGGTTGGCCGAGGTCGAGGAGGCCATGGCGTCGTTACATATTGACGACTCGCCGCGTTAACTAGAAGGATTTAGGAAACAAGTGGTGGAACGAACACAAACCATCACGAGGCGGCTTGCCCGATGCCGGGACTCTATCGTCCGATTTTGCGTGGACATGGAGGAAGTCTGGCCTGGATTGTCAAATGTCTTTCTCTTCGGGGGTGATAAAAGGAGAGATGCGTCTGGCCAAGCAGGGATGTCTGCTCCGAGAGAAACATCACAAACTGGGCCAATGGTAAGCACGATGTGACCTTGGCTTGTGCTAAAGAGGAGTGCCCCGACTGTAGCCGTGCAGACTCGGATGCGGCGACGAAACGAGCAACTTCAGAAGCAAAGAGAGTTTGAAAAGGCAGTCGAAGAAGAGCCTATCCCCGTTAGTGAGAACGATGAGGATAACGAGGATGAGAAGTTGCGGGCCGAAGAGGAAGAACGGGCTCGTCGTCGTGCACTGGAAAGGGAGCCGGAGAAAGGGAAGGCCGAAGCAAGCGAGGAAGAGCCGCGAAAGAAGAAAAATATTTACTTGATCCCCGTGGAGCACGGGGTCGATATCGAGCGACTCGTCGATAAGATTCTGGAAAGTCAGCGCGACTTGGTCA